AGTTAAAATGCGATCATTTTAATGAGTTGTGACGTATGAAATAATTTCTATATGTTTATAACGCCATACTTTAAACAAACCTTTTCTAAGGTATTGTAACACTTTTAAAACGTTTATATGACGTTACAGCACATTAGATTTATGTCGTTATAATTCGATAAAATAGACAAAGACCTGTTTTGTCGTATTATAACAGAATAAACAAGCAAAACAATATCGGATGGATCCTGTTAGAAAATTCTCTTTACATAACATAAAAATACAGATTAAAACAGGCGAATGTGAGTGTGGATGTATCATTGCGTCTTAGCGTCTAGTAATCAGATGTTTGGTCATATTCAAATGTCAAAACATTCTAACATCGTGATATCGATATATCGTATGAAAGTAATCACTTAATGTATAACAAATTTAATTACATAGATTTAATTTAATCATAGATCGATTGAATAGAATCATGTCTCATTCGACTAGAATATTGGTAAAGTCTATGTTACTAAAAAGTCCAATAGTCAGATTTTTGACAATGTAAATGTCGATCTTTTTACATGTAACCTATTGTGCTGGCATTCATAGCAGATTTTGTAACATATAAACTCTTACTCCTAGAATGTATGATTCCTGCACAAAAAATGGATTAAACATCGAGTTATATTATACTTTTTTTAGACTAAACAAAAGACAAATGGTTTTCATAGCAAGTAATTTTCAGTTATTTAATTTTAATTCAACCGTATCATATTACTTAAAAGTGCATACGACGTAACAAAAAGGCGATATACCTGCCAGTCTACTTGTCCCAGGAACTTTTGACATATTCAATCTGTTATCCGTCAGTTAATTTTGTTCTGACGATAGTAGACGAGTAAGAACCAAAATCAGTAAGATACATCTTTTCGATTAACAGTAGAAAATATTTCAAAGAATTTTTCTCGCTATTGAATTATAGAACGATAAAAGTTTTGTTACTACTAAAAGTAACAATTCTTTACTTCTTCAAAAGTATTCTTACAAAAATACTTTACTCTTCAAAAGTATTATTCTTCTTGTTTTCTTGAATTCTGACAATAGTAGATAATCGAAAATCGTTTTACAAGCATCCATTTAATATCTTGCATATTTGCTGGAATTTTCGTCAAAAGCCCACTTACAGTAGAATAGTTTTTTCTTCTGTAGAGAGTTCCGCTTAACATACAGACAATTAAAAACTAAACAAAAAATAATTTGGATTACGACAAAAATTTTCCTTTCTAATACATTTCCAGACAATCTCGAAGTTTATCGACATTTTTTATTTAGAAACGAAAGTTTTCCGAGACTCTTAAACGAAAAAAAAGACCAAACAATAACAAGAATAACAATAAAGACTAGAAGAAGAACGTCTCTTCATTTGTTTCTAAATGCAAAAGCAACAACAATTAGTCACACAAAATAAAATACCAGAAAAACAGTAAAAATGCTTTAAAATTGATCACTGGAAGAGTTTTGTGTTATAGGTGGGTAATGAACAAACATCAGATTTTGAATAACGTGAAGAAAAAAAACACCCTATTCAACGTACATAGATGTGTGTTTAATTATGTTAATAGCTTGAATAACCGGAGAAAATAATTGTGATAGTTGATAAAAAGAGAAACAAAAAACAAAGTGTCAGATATGCTTGGACGCATGTTGCATAAACAAAAAAAATAAAGTAAACAAAAATGACAAAAAAATTAGGCCTACAAGCAAAAAATGAAAGAAATAGATATTGCAAATGAATATTCGTTAAACATTAACTAGGCACATTCGAACGCTACCATTGACCTGCAATGTATCGAGAACAAACGATGTTTTTACGTGCAAAGATAAATTTTGGAATAGTATCGATCGATGTATTGAATACGGTGTATAAATTATGAAAAGAAACTCTTTGTTAGGTTCTGAAGAAAAAAGACTTTTTGTAAAAATGAGTTGTTTAGCTTCAGTTAGAAATATAATTCCTACACGCAAACAATAAACAGAAGAAGATTTGTTTATCATAACAGAGGGTGCTGAAGAAAAAAAAAGAGTTATCTTCTCTGGTTTGGACAGTTGAATATGAAAGGAATGTGTGATTTGAATTAATGTATTTTATACTTGAAAAAATATACCGAAGTCCCTGATTCAAGAAAAGAAAATAGTTCGGGTCGAAAGTCGCATTCTGGGTAAAAAGAAAGAGAAGGACTGTATGGAGTGGACCATGAAATAAGATTTTAAAATATTGTGATTTCCTACCATCTGGGTAGATGCAAAACATCTTGATGTCTGCTGTACTCATTGCACTACACACTATGTACAAAATCACTATTTTATCTCATTCTATTAGTGTTACATCAAAACCGATCTAAAGACAAAATACAGACAACGTCAATATGACGAACAAGTGACAAGACCGACGATTATTCTGGAATGTAATGATATGCTTTAGTCTTATTCTGATTTTATCTTGTCATTTTCATTGTTTTCCAATTGTTTTCCTTTTTTTGTTGATGATGACGGTTTAATATAGGCACCAGCAAAAAAGTGCGCAAATAACAAGAAGTAAGTGGCATACATAACCATTGAATATTTTAGATTATCATCACTGACTTGACATGTTTCACCATTGTTTTTAATATCCCATATTTTCAAATTAATATAACATCCAACAATCATTTGTGACAACTGTAATAATGTAATTAACATTGATACATGACGTGGAATTTTAAACCTTAATGCTCTTAATGCATAATATGTGTACATTATAGCATGTACAAGACTATTCATTGAACAAAACCATCTTCCACTGGCCGTTAAATCGTGATATGAATACCAACAATATATAAGAACAGTGGCATGATGATAATACTAAAATAATATTGTACAAAATAATAAACACATTAATCCAGTTTAGATCTCCTTACATGTAGAAATATGAGTGGTTGTTTTCTCAGAACAATAAATACTGTGTCTAGTAGCTCGGGTAATTTTGCAAAACAAAAAGCCCATGTCCTAAGTAGAAAAAAAGAACAACAAAAGTTATATGCTAAAAGAAAAAAATATATTGAAAAGTTCTTGTACTCTTTCACACCTACCAAAATCCCGTAACACCAAAAGCATTAGAATTATTACATATTGAATAGGTGAAACCATATTTGTATAAAACATAAACTAATTCTGGTATAACACGAATTGCACCAAGTATAGAAAATAATGCTAACAAGATATTCCATGAAGCCAAAGCAGGACGTAATTCAAAACGTGGTCGTGTTTTCATATAGATATGACCAGTATAAATGAGAAATAAATAGGCTATAGCATAGAAAAATGAATTATGCCATCTTTCCATCATAAATGTTTTTAAATCTCGTAACATTGAATAATTCAATGTATCTAAACGATCATAATGTTTTTCAAAATCAAGTACAAATGAAAAATTAACACCGCTTGGATCAGTTGTTTTGGATTGTTTTAATGTTTCAAAGTAATCGGTTAAATGAGATATTAAGGTGATCATTATTGATGGTGACTTTTGTTCTTATACACCGATTACTGTAGATATTTTAACTGTCTTCTGTTATGATTTAGTTGGTAACAATCAAACAGAAAGATAGTAATTTAAATATCTAAAATACAAAAAAGACAAACAAAATCAGTGTTTCAATATTAGACAACAAGATCTTCAATCAATCACCCACAAAATGAACGACTTAGAAGCGAAATTTACATCTTTTTCTTTTAAAGAAAGAAGCCTTAAATCGAACAAGTTATCAATGATTGATCGTACAAATTGCTGTTATATTCTTAAAATTAATGATTTGAGTGTGCTCAACTATTGAGTGAACATCTTGAAAACCTGAAGTCTGATCTTTCTATGATCGACTGTTAGTATACTATTCTACCTTTAAAAACACAATGTAAGAAAAAAGAAAGATGTACTAATGCTGTTCAACTAAAGAAAATGGTAAATAAGAAAAAGAAAAAAGAAAAAATAAATTAATATCGTGCGAGAAAATGTAGGTGTTTTTATCGTCATCAAATAAAAAAAAAAAATAGAGAAAAATTACACACTACAATATTTTGTTCAACTGTTATTTAAAATCCAGAGAGAAAAGAGAGGATACAAAAGAAAATGTGTGCTTTTTTAATCGTAATAATAGAAAGTATAAAAATGCAATTTTAAGGTATTTGATAAGAAAAAACAGAATTTTTCTATTAGATACTATTACATACGATGAGGTTATTCTTTTTTTCTGTAAAAAATAATATAGTCTAGATTTTTGTCCTTTCAATCCTTTGGTCGATGTAAATACTACTAATCTTCTTTCATACTATAATGTAGAAGAGAAAAAACAAAATTCGCTATACAATAATTAAATACGATCACTATAAGCATTACTGCTTGAACAACGGTCATACAAGTATCTATTTTATTATTACTAACCTTTGTCCTTTCTATAATTCATACGCGAAGGAGAAAATAAATTTTTTACTTTTAAAAATATTAGAAGTACAAGAATTATGCCATTTATCGAAAAAAGAAAAATGATACGGAAGTAAAATGTCAAGTCCTACGCAATATACTTTCTATTAAATGAGTGTCCAACGCATAAACATAGAACAATATATATATATATAATGATGTTGACAATTTTTCTGTTTGTTAGATGAAAGAGAAACGAGAGAAATAATGATCTAGAATTTTCTATTTTTTTAATTCAAATTGTTACTATTTCTATATTTATTCTATAGAATAATTGTTTCTCCATTCTATCAATTAACTATTTTTTCTTTTATTTTATTTCAATTCAAATACTTATAAGAGCACGTATGCTGTATTTAAGAGTAAAAGAAATTTGAAAATAAAACAAGACCGCCCACCGTTTGATCAAGAAAAAAACCCTAGTTAAAAAACTATTCAAAGAAACGCGTACAAGTAATAATTTTCAGATAATATTCATTTTTTTTTTTTATTACATTGATAATTAGTCAAAATTTCATAAACAACTAGAAAACAACATAACAGTGTTATATGAAGACATATATCTCGTTGAATAACTGCATGATCGAAATAATCAAAAATAATTGTAAATGAATAAACGTATCAAACAATGAAAACTTTGATCTGTATCAAATACACGATTTTCCGCTATTAACATTATCGTACGAGGATACTAATAACTAAGCTTAAAAGTGTAGAAGACAAAAAGAAAATATTTATCTTCTAACATTTTCATATATTAATTGGCTGGTTGCCCACAAATATACATATCAGAGAGGTAAAAATGAAAAAAGTCAAATAATAATTAGTATAACACTCCTCTAAGAAAATGATCGTTCATACAAGAAGAAAACGACTAGATTTGATTACAATCTTCAGTTGTAAAACAGAAGTTTAACCTGAGAAGAATTCAACTGATAAAGAGACAACCTCATTTTCAGATAACAATGATGTTTTCAGTGAGAAACAACTTACCGCACTATTTGTGCGTCTGTTGCACATCTGCATTTCCATCATAAAATCATCAAAAATCACAAGATGGAATGTTATGTGGAAAAACAACGATAGTTTAATTCCTTTAAAAATTAACTAAGTAGCTTTGTCGAGCACAATCATTTTGTGTTACGAAAGGCACATATGACAACGTAAGATATCTTGACAGGTCGAAAGAGTAAATGCATACGTTCTCAAGATAAATAAACCAATATTTTCAATTCTTTTGATAAAATAGTCTCGCATCAAAGTTTTTTAAGATAAACGTGTCAATTGAAAGAGTAGATAATTGAGCAAAATGTGCTGAAGTTTAAAAGTATTCATCTCACCAAACATAAATGCTTCATATCTCCAAGTGTTTATTATTCTGAATTAATATCGACGTCAACAAGAAAAATAACGTATGGTCATGGAAATAACAGCATATACATTGATAATTACCACAGTAAAAAAAGAGAGGAAAAGATGATATTTCTATTGTAAGCGTTCTCTTTCAAATGAGATAATCAGTTTCAAGAAAAATAAAGAATATGTTTGTTCTCATTTTCATGATACTCTGAAATAACATTGTTCATATATACAACGTGTAATGAAAAAAAGAAATAAAAGTAATTTTAAAATAAGTTAGCAAATTGCTAGAAAGCGCTCTCATCACTGTCATCTAAATCACATCCATTTAATCGTTGTTCTTTTTACATTGCATACTTTTGAGTCCACATTTTAGCTTGTTGATTGTATGACTCTCGATCTGTTTTGTACATTTCTATAATATAAATCGAAAAATCTAGTCAGATGTGTTTTTTACAAAAGAAATATGTCAGTCCATACGTGCAATGTCAGGAACAAGCGGGTCATCCGGATTTGGATCGTTCAGTAATGAACAAATTGATAATAAAACTTTTGAGATGGTGAGTGCTACAACAAAACACATAGATCATACAATAAAAACGAACAGAAAAGATTATTTACCTGGAGACCATTGAGATCGTAGGATATCCAAACATATTACACCGTTTGAGTTTACATTTGGATGATAGATTTTTGTTGTAAACGTTATTTTGGGTGGTTTAAACTAAGTACATACAGAACGATACAAACGTTACACATTTTGTCTGCTAGACACGTTCTTACCGGATAATCAGCTGGAAAGTGAATTGATAAAAAGAAAACGCCACCTTGAAATGGAGATTCACCTTAAAAAGAAGAGAAATATTGATTGTATTTCTAACCGTGTATGATCAGCAACTTACCCGGCCCCATTATTGTTGCTTGCCAATGAAACATATCGTCTTTAACTGGTCCAGCTGGAAACAAAAAATAATACGAGAATGTTAGTAATACTACAGCATTCTAATCTATCGTACGAAACACACCACTACAATTAGTAGGAGGATCAACTTTTAGATCTTGCAATTCTCTACTAATTCGTTTTAATGCCATTTTGATTCGTTATTAAACGAATAGAATAAAGTGTAAGATTCTGTTTTTGCCGAAAAGATCAATCTAGAGTATAATGAAACATAGTGAGCAATCTTGTAAGTAGTAGAATAGCATCTTAGAATGAGAGTTTTACGAGAATGATAAAAGACAGACGTTTTGGAATACATCATTGAAGAATGAATTGAGGTTAAGTCAACCCAAGTAGTTAAATTCAGTGACGTTATAAAATTAGAAAAAGAAATGTCTAATCGATTTTATTAGCATTTACACCAGTTATTAAAAGTAAACTGAATTGTAAAAGCAGGCGCAGTTGTCAACTTGACACATTTCGTAGGTACCATCATGAATATAAATATAAACAAATTGCGCTAATTGAGTATCCATCAATAACTTACATCGATCCATAATAAATTGAACATGAACTAAATCCATCCCTTACTTCAAGCAAACTCATCCTATCATGATGTTTAGTATTTCTTCGGTGAGGTTATTGAAATTCAAGTTGTTTTGTTTACTCTTACATTCTGAATATATTTATTCTAATTGCTTATGTTCTGATGAATATAGCGATGTTTTATTCATCAGGCAAATAAAAATGACAAACTTTGATACAAAACAGTATTTCACTAAATACTCAAAACAAGAATGGATAATGATGGGAAAGTAGATAGTTCAGATGTGAAACACTTGTTAAACAACAAGAGTGTAGATATTGCAATTACACATACTGAAGATTCAGGAAAGCGGTATGATTCATCTGTAACAAAAATTCATATAAAAGAATTATTATTTTTATCATTCAATTACAGTTACACAAAATTTAACACGAAGCAAAATCATGTATTCCCGATGAAGAAGTCTTTTACCCGCATTAGCTAAGCTATATTCTAAACTTCCAAGGCGTTGAATTGATGACTCGAAATGAGATACAGTCTACATTTGAATATGAAATAATAAAAAAAAATTTCTACAACATTAACAAAAAGAGTTATAATTATGACAGATTGGAAAATAGATTTTTTAGATAATCTAGAAAATTGACGGCATCTGATCGTTTACTTTATTTATAATTCATAGCATCAAAAAACGATAAAACGAAATAGCATAACGAATATCTCTAAATGATAAAAACAACAGAGAACAATTAGGAGCATCGTTTTTGTTTCGTCAAGCAGAAACATTTGAACAAACAGCAACGGATAAAATTGAATTATTTATCATGAAACTGTAAAACTGTTACAAGTGACACTCAAGCCAACATCATCATCGTAACAATCAAATAACAATAAAAAGAAAGATGATACAAGTGAAATGACGTTTTTATTCCTGTTATACACACAAGCGCACTTGAAGTGTAAAAACGAAAAATAAGAAAAAAATTCAAATAAAATTGATCAGTGTGAAACACATCGATAAGAAATCAAATATATACTAAATACTGTATGAACAGAAAAACTATTGAAATAAGTGACGAAAACTGATATTAAATAAAAATTCTTTCATTTCACAAGAACAAGTGGAAAGCAATACATTGAGAATGGAAGAAGATTAGTGAATCATATCTTCCAGTGTTACTCTCTTGCCCGTTCTACTATCATATGAAAACATTTTAACAAAAATTGTTTTTTTTTTTATTGTCTAATGCATACAATATTGCTATATTTATTAGGATGTAGTGAATTAAAGTAAACATGTTCACAAAGAAATAGTAAAGAAAAATAACGTCAATATCATAATACTATTCATATAATAAAAAATCTTACCAAGTAAGCGCAAGTAAACTTATTTTTTCAAAAATGGTCGAATTGATTGTGACATCGAAAAAGATCTAAAATAACAGCAATAATTATTAAGAGAGGTAGTTCTTCTTTAAATGCTAAATAGGGTCAATAGTAAAGGAAAATAGTCAATAGCCAATGACGTTCAAAATCTTTCAATTTTTTGTTCATAGAAAAGAGAAATATCTTTATTGTAGAGGAGGGATAAACTGTTCACGGTGATGAAAGATCAAAATATTCTCCCTGCACAGCTTTCAAGTTACTTGTCATATGCCTTGTACCTGCTTCGCAGTAAAACAAAATTATTTATTGTTCTCGAACAGCGAAAGAATATCAAGCTACATAGACACAGTACCACGTGTCTGTCACTGATGCTAATTCAAGGAAGAGCTTGCATTATGGCAGAGGTTGCTTCAAGATGACATAAAAACTTATTTAAAAATTTGGTTTAATTGGTGTTCTTTCAACCTTCACGACTAAACAAAAGTCACTTAATTTCAATAAACAGATTAATTAGACGTAATAAGATATATTTCCCGTTTTGCTGCCGCTTATCTTCAATTTTTACATAAAATCAAACACATAATACACACACAATATCGATATTTGTTCCAGTTTTTTTCAAATGAAAAAGAAAAACATTATGACACAATCATAGTCCAGAGACGAAAGAAAAAGAAATTCAAGCTACAAACGCTCGCAGACACATAAAAGTTCCAGTAATTTTTTCTAGAAGAAAAAAGTGTAGTGGTAAAGAGAAAAACACATCGGCCGTTTTTAAGACAAAAAAAACAGAACAAGAAATCTAGTCTCATTGTATAAGCTTGGTCGCACAAGAAATTGTTTGTCGTGAATCAAAAAACCTTTGATATTTCCAAAAGCCGTGCCAGATTGAAAAAAATCCTGCATTGTTCTCAGAACTTCAATCGTTTTTTTATCTGCTCGGTAGTTTACTTTAACTCGATTGTTCATCAGCTAAACGTCATCGCAATCCTTTCTTTACTAGATCGTTCTACTCAGTTCCACAATTCTCATGTTCAACATGTGCAGCTTTCTTAAATTTTTTCTATTCATGGCCATATTTACTTACATACATACATAATGTTTCAGTTGAGAGAATAAAATAAACAAGAAAAGAATTCCAGAATCAACAAATAAAAAAAAACAAACAACAAGATAAAAAATGTCTTATTATTTATTGTTTTCTTTTTTTGTGATGTTCGAGAAAGAAAGAGAGAAAAAAATTTGTTGATGATCTTGGTAATAACACACAATGAATGAAAGAGAGGGAAAAGAGACAAGATGAAGAAAAAAAGAAAAGCGAGTTAAAAATGTGTTTCGCGCAATGCTCACAAGTATACGCGTCTTTTCTTTATTGATTAATTATTGTTTTATTGTCTTATGTTATAATGTTCTTTGTTTACATTGCATATTTATTTGTCCACGTTCTTGCTGTTTGATTATATTTTTCTCTATCTGTTTTATATAAACCTAGACCACAAAGAAAAAAGTGTCATGAAGATAACACATGTAGATATCTGATAAAAACAATCCTTACGTGCAATGTCAGGAACAAGCGGGTCATCCGGATTTGGATCGGTCAATAATGAACAAATTGATAATAAAACTTTTGAGATGGTGAGTGCTACAACAAAACACGTAGATCATACAAGAAAAACGAACAGAAAAGATTATTTACCTGGAGACCATTGAGATCGTAGGATATCCAAACATATTGCACCGTTTGAGTTTATATTTGGATGATAGATTTTTGTTGTAAACGTTATTTTGGGTGGTTTAAACTAAGTACATACAGAACGATACAAACGTTACACATTTTGTCTGCTAGACAAGTTCTTACCGGATAATCAGCTGGAAAGTGAATTGATAAAAAGAAAACACCACCTTGAAATGGAGATTCACCTTAAAAAGAAGAGAAATATTGATTGTATTTCTAACCGTGTATGATCAGCAACTTACCCGGCCCCATTATTGTTGCTTGCCAATGAAACATATCGTCGTTAACTGGTCCAGCTATAAAATAAACGAATTTTAAATAACATAAACAAATATTCAAAATTTTCCTACCTGAACAATTTGCTGGTGGATCTTTTTCAAGTTCTTGTAATTCTTTATTGATACGCTTTAAGGCCATTGTGATTGAATGTTGATACCTTTATATGAGAACACAATCAATAACAGGATGTTAGTGAGCAGTATACTAATTCTAATATACGATTACAAAGATCGTATGAAGTGTGAAGTATTTCAAAAGATCGATTCAAATCAATGATCTAAAATAAGAAAGATGTAAAACTGGTAACAATAACAGAATGACAAATGTCATTGTTTATTATACACGTATGAGTCAGACTCAACTGAGAAAACTATTTTAAAACAAACAGCAATACACCACAGATACAAGTAAAACAAAGCTCTCAATAGAATCATATACGACATCCTACAACCAAGTTTTGAGAACATTTTGACAAAATTTCCTGATGAAGTTTTAAGATTTTCTACCACGACTCAACTCTACAGTGCTCGCGTTCTCAGCAAAACTGAACCAATTATTTAAAGCTTAAGTGTACTATGTACGTATAAATATCAGTTGTGTATCTCGTGTTTTCATAGCAGCCTTGCGTGAATCACATAAACGTATACATATCAGTGATCACTCATAAGGAAAAAACCTGAAAATTTTTCGATACATTATGTACGATGCAAGGTAACAGAACAAAACAGTGAATCAAAAGTATGGGGGAGTCTACATGATTCCTGCTAAACTGTGAAAATGAAAAATCTTTAGGAATCTCCACAAAGCCCTCGTGCGTGAAAATCCTTTTATGTTTTTTTTAAAAAAAAAGAAGAGCTTTCTAGAAATTTACAACAATAAACAATACCTACTCTGAATGATCTGTGTTTAAATAAAAAACATACACACACAGGGCACATGTGAAAATGTATGTACATCTCTGTCTATACTCTTTTTTTTCTTTGTTTTCCTCTTTTAAAAATATGCATTTTATCGCTATTGTTGTTTTGGTGTGTAATACGTGCGTTGTCTACATAGACTATAGAAGGCATATGAGAATTACTACGAAAGAAAAAGAAAAATATTGAACAAGCAAATAGAAAAAAAATTGGATGAAGAAAACCCGTTTAAACATATGTTACTTAGAAGAATATGGAATGAAGAAAAAAATTACGTCACTATGCCGAAAAAACATTGTTTTTTTCCCTATTCTTTTCTTTTGCATTTCTTAATGCGCAAACTGATGAAAGAAAAGAAATCTCAAAACGATATACATAATAGAATAAACAAAACTTATTTACACTAATCACCGAATGAATCATATGAGTAAAACTGAACCACAATTAGACCATACGAAGGAACGAATATCTGTTATTGAATTTGAACGATTTACACTCGGCTAATGATCTGATCAATATTCTCTTGAAGTTGTATCTCAAGGAAAAATATTTCATATTTATAGAGAAAACAAACATTGCCAAAACATGGCAACAGGGAAAATCTCACTTCAAAGATATCTACACGTATTGTAACAATAATAAACATGAACATGGTATTACGTAAATGATGAATTGTGTATTGTATACTATGACAAGTTCAGTTTGTTCAAATGGAGAAAAGTATTAATAGGTTTTTGAGTACGATAGAACATGATTAAAAATTTTAATGCATTTGGATAGGAGAAAAGCTCTTGTTTCTTGTTCTGAAGGTATGTATTCCTTGAGTAATGGCAACAGCAGAGATGGGAGAGAGTGTCCGCTAAATATTTCCGCCCAGAGTCCCCAGAGAACTTTCTGAATTATTTTCATTTGCTTCGTTTTTTTCTCAGCGACTTTTTTTCAACAAAAATTTTTCTTTCGTCAATTTCCGCCATACAAAAAGATCTCCCTAGTATCACCATTACCCTTAAACGTCAAATGTGTTGTTAGAAAAGCGACTTTTAGAACTACAAAGATGTAATATTCGCACAAGTATTAAAGAAGAATTGAGGTAAACATAGATAAAAGAGAAGAGTATCAAGGAAAAAGATGATTTGTCTAATGCAACAGTCTTGCAATCTTATCTCAGAAAAAAACGGCATACTCTTTATGCAAAATAAATTTAACGTTCATCTACTCACTCACAAAGTATATACTCAGAGTAATAGATCAATGTTGAAAACGAAAAATAAATTTTAGAAGAAAAAAAAACGAATAAATTTCACGATTATATACTATACATCATTAAAGTCCTTGCGATATTGAAATGTAATGTAAGCTGAAGTCTTCCTCACCTTCTCCTCTTCTTTTTCTCTAAAACGCGAGTCATGCTCTTTTTTTTTCTCTTTTATCCCACAGACTTGGCCAATACGGTAGGGTACCTTATATAAATCGTCGTCATAGAGTCTATTCAGTGCAATTATCCATTTTCGAACAGTAATAACTGACTAAATAAGTATTTTCCTGTGCAATTATATCGTCCGACTACGAAACAATGAGCATTCGGAGCGTGTAAAATTCGCATGTTACTGCACTGTCATAAATATGAGAACAATAAATGGCTGCTCGTCTTTTCATTGGCCAAAAGAATCAGTATTTAGCATACCCTAATGCGGTAAAAACAGAACAGAACGATCAGAAAATTTCGACTGGGTGGCACAAAATATAGTAAAACAGGTCATAATCTATGACCTGTTTTACTATATTTTGTGTATAAATATGCTGATGGTTCAATGGATTATTATGACTCATAATAATCCATTGAACCATCAACATATCAGCAAATTTTTAATTTTTTCTTTACGAACATAAGGCACACTCTAATGTAGACCGGATAGTAATTATAGCGGAATCGAAAAAAAATCAAAAGAAATGAATATCCGCTTGTACCTTTTTGAACATGAAAGTTTCATTGATTCTAAGATTCACTTAGCAATTTGGCTCTTCTACAGATCGATCACCTCCGTAGTGGTAAAAGTGAGCGGCCGTAGCGGTGAGGGTGAGTGATTTGTAGAAGTACCAGCAATTTGTCATCAGCAATCATACTAACTTGGTATGATTGCAGTTCAGAACAGCTCAGTTTTGTAGCTAGAGCGTTCTTTCTATTGTTCAATTCTCAATTGTGATTTGTTCTTAACTAACTTCAGATTCATATGAGAATTGTGTAGTAATATTGCTGTCTATCGACAATATGTCTATATGCCGTTCGTCTCATTAAAACGTTAAACGTGATCTCTGATACAACAGAAGTCTAAGCACATAATTAAAACAAATGATGGAACGTCTTGTGTCTATATCAAGACCAGTGGCCAATGCCCTTTGTTCTCAATGCGTCAGAAATAGTCCTAATTTAATTTTTCAACGATCTGTTCATAAAGTGGCACGTGAACCATTTTTAAATGCTTCATCATCAAATTATATTGACGAAATGTATGAACAATGGTCAAAAGATCCTCATTCTGTTCATAAGGTACCAGAAGACCAGCTCTGAAAATATATAACAGATAAAACCCATGTCTGTTTTTATTTTCTTACTTTAGTCGTGGGATCTTTACTTCAAAAATCAAGTTTATCAAAGACCACCAACACTGGGCTTCGCGCCACCATCTCCTGCGTTGACACAATATTATCAAATGACTGGATTTTTACCATCTGGTCAACAAAAGCAAGAACAATCAACGCAATTACAGCCATTAGATGAAACTTCTACTACACAAGGATTATCTCTTAATAAAAGAGCTATTACCGATCATATGGCTGTGCAAGCACTCGTGCGATCATATCAGGTAGAGATATTGTGACAACAGCTTTCTGAAGTAGTTTTTTATAAATACTGATGGAATTTTGAAACTGTGCTAAGCGGCTGAGAATTTTTTAACAATAATGAGGTTACAAGATAAAATATTCATATTCCTTCTGGCCATTTGTTTGCTTTGAGATGTTCAATTTGATCTGTACATTATTTCTTTGTATATTATTCATTTGCAGATGCGCGGACATAAGTTAGCTCAATTGGATCCACTCGGGATAAATACAGCTGACTTAGATAGTGAAAGACCAAATGATTTGACTCCTAAATTCTATAGTTTCAGTAAGTTGAAAAAACGCGTAAATAAAATAAAACGCAAGTATGTTGATCACGCATAACTATTCTTCTACTACTATTGCGAAACAATACTTCTTAGAAAAGCACTCCCACACACAAACACACACACACATAAACACGTATCAGTGTGTCACTGAAGTCTCCAGTTTATTTCTTTTTCTGCTGTATTAAATACCATCATTTTTTATACGATGAATGAAGATCTGTTGACTAAAATGAGTGTAAGAAGTCTGTAGACATACTTATGTCAAGTGATCCATTCGTTTTTATAGTTATACGGACACCATGCTGCACAGTTAGATCCATTGGGTATTCTAGACGCTGATCTAGAGCACGAACGTCCTGAAGGTCTTTTATTGTCGACGAACAAATTGAGTAAGGTCATATATTGTATAACGTATTAGAAGTCCTGCATGTTACCCAAAAGTGTTAGCATGTGAGTTTCTTTTGTCAGCTTGCCTTGTCCATTTTTTGTATTGCACAAAGTTCTTTTCTGCAGAAGCAGCACGTTGCTTTTTTTACCCATTGCGTTTCATGTTCGTTATATTACTCTTGTGTGTGTAGGTGTTCAAATAACTAGAGAGAATAGTTTTATAGCTTGAATATCTTGTGAATATGCTAAATTGCTTAAATTTGCTAAATATTTCTTTAAATTTCTATTTGCTCTAAAGACAAAAAAAGGTTTATTGGAGATTTCAAACCCACATGCTTTGCTTTATTATATTTGTTTCTCTTTTTGAAGTCTAAAATATGGTTTTCGTAAGATGGCGATGTTTGCTGTAACCAATTTAGAAGTATCACTGTACCCACATTTTTTGAAAACATTCTCTCTTTTTCAAATCAAATGACTTTCTTTTTCTTTAAAGGTGAAGCAGATCTTGATCGCAAATTTTCTGTACCTCCGAATACATTTATCGGTGGCAATGAAAAAGTATTAACATTAAGAGAATTAATTACTCGTCTTGAGGTAAACTGTAACTTTTATATATCTTGTTATATATACTCTTGTCTTTTATTTAGAACGTGTATTGTCAGACAATCGGTCTCGAATATATGTATATAAATAGTTACGAAAAATGTAATTGGATCAGACATCGTTTTGAAGATCCATCGTTGAAAAAATTAACAGTAGACGAAATTGAACGAAGTGTTAAACGTTTAATTCGTGCCTCAAAGTACATCATCTGACTGGTTTTTGTAGTTAAAGTTTTTTTCATTTGTTTCTTGAAAATATAGATTTGAAGAATATTTATCGAAAAAGTGGAGTTCAGAAAAACGTTTTGGTTTAGAAGGTTGCGAAGTATTGATACCGGCAATGAAAATAGTCATTGATGTTGCATCGGGCAAAGGTGTTGATACTATTATTATGGGTATGCCTCATCGGTAAGTTTTTCATGTTAGATTCACAAAATTGTTTCCTATCATACAACGTCTGATTCTTTTTTTTTCCAGTGGACGATTAAATGTACTTGCAAATGTTACACGTAAACCACTAGAAGAAATATTTTGTCAGTTTGATCCAAAATTAGAGCCATCGGACGTTTCAGTATGTACATTGAGTATTTATAGCAAAGACTTTAGATTTATTTCTTTTTAAGATTGATAACACATACATTATTGTAAGTTACAATCTTTTCTGCTCTTTCTCTCAAATACAAAGAGAGTAGGAAAAAAAATCACTCAATCCTATAAAATGTGTTGTTTTGATTCCCATGTATATGTTTATATAAATCACTTGTATATTTACTGGCTATTCATTCGTCGTTGTATCGTGTTTGAGAGAATAGTGCTAAGGTTTCTCTGTGTATAAGAATAATAAAATTCTCCTGTTAATTTTTCCTAACATATTCGTAACTTATACATAACATAAAAAGTCATCTTGTCCTTTCATGTGTTAGTTGATGAAATATCTGATTGTAGGGTACTGGTGATGTCAAATATCATTTGGGTACTTGTATTGAACGAGTCAATCGAGCTACAAACACTATGGTTAAATTGTCTGTTGTTGCTAATCCATCGCATTTGGAAGGTTTGTTAAGTTTCGTTTACACAAGAGCTGAAATATCTAAATAATTCTTTGTTGTTCTCACAGCTGTTGATCCTGTGGTACAAGGTAAAACACGTGCTGAACAATTTTACCGTAATGATAAGGAAGGTGACAAAGTGATGAGTATGATATTACATGGTGATGCAGCATTTGCTGGTCAAGGCGTTGTATACGAAACGTTTCATTTGAGTGATTTGCCGGCATACACGACGCATGGAACTATTCATATCATTTGTAACAATCAAGTAAGATATCTACAGTTAAACTTGTTGCTATAGAATGTAAATGTGATTTTTTTTAACAGATTGGTTTTACAACCGATCCGCGTATGGCTCGTTCAAGTCCCTATTGTACCGATGTGGCACGTGTCGTTAATGCACCAATATTTCATGTTAATGCTGATGATGTCGATGCTGTTTTACATGTGGCAAAAGTAGCGGCTGAATGGCGTTGTACATTTAAAAAAGATGTTGTCATTGATTTGGTTTGTTATCGACGTCACGGTCATAATGAAATGGACGAACCAATGTTTACACAACCATTTATGTATAAAAAAATTAAAAAACAAGCTCATGTATTAGATAAATGGTCACAAAAATTGATTAGTGAGGGTGCTATTAAGAAAGAATGGTATGAGGTAAGGTTTGACAATAATATTCATTACGTGAAAACGTCAGTCTCTCGATGTGTTTAGGCTGAAGAAGCTAAATATCAAAAAATTCTTGATGATGCTTTTCAAAATTCAAAATCGCCTGCATATGCAAAAGATAAAAACTGGCTCGATTCTCCATGGAAAGGTAGGAAAAAGAATGAATGAATGATAGATGGATGGCACAGATGCACTATTTTTTTTTTATTGTAATTTTAGGTTTTTTCACGGGAAAAGGCCCATTTCCCTATCCTGAAACGGGCATACCAGAAGATACAATAAATACAATTCTTACGAAAGCACATGAATTACCAGATGGTTTTACGCTTCATAAAGGTACCTTCATTATCAACAAGCAGATTATAGATGCCATAGAGCTTGAAACCGTGATGTCCTATCTATAAAACTTAATCTGCTCATTTATTACACATTTTTCCCTTTTTGTTTAGGTTTAAAACGTGTATTTAATAATCGTGCCAAATTATTAAGTGAACGTACCGTCGACTGGGCATTGGGTGAATCTTTGGGCGTCGGAAGTGTTTTATTAGACGGTCATCATGTACGATTGAGTGGTCAAGATGTTGAACGTGGAACATTTTCACATCGTCATCATGTTTTACATGATCAAGAAAAAGATTTAGTATTTCATGTACCATTAAATTATTTGAGTTCAACGCAAGGTCATTATACAATATGTAATAGTTCATTATCAGAATTTGCTGCATTAGGATTTGAATTGGGTTATTCAACAACAAATCCAAATTCATTGGTTATTTGGGAAGCACAATTTGGTGATTTTATTAATAATGCCCAATGTATTATAGACCAATTTATATCTAGTGGACAAGCAAAATGGGTTCGACAAAGTGGTATTGTTCTATTATTACCGCATGGCTATGAAGGACAAGGTCCCGAACATTCATCAGCAAGATTAGAACGATTTTTACAAGTAAATTTTGTGAAGTTTTATATAAATAATAGTGATAATAATTTTCATTTTTTTGTAGATGGCTGATGAAGATGAAGATTCTGTGCCTCAATTACAAAGTGGAAAACATTTACATCATAATGATCTTTCCATGTACCAGTTAGATGAAACAAATTGGATTGTAGCACATTTAACAACGCCCGCCAATTATTTTCATATACTTCGACGACAATTAGCATTGCCGTTTAGAAAACCATTGATTATGATGTCACCAAAATCATTGTTACGTTTAGAAGAAGCACATTCAAGTTTTGATGAAATGTTACCAGGTTTGTACGTTAAGTAAATTCCAGTATTCCATTTGTATTGAAATATTATGTCATCTTATTCAGGTACAAAATTTAAACGAATTTATCCAGAAGAAGGCGTAGCAGCTGAAAATCCTGAAAATGTTGAAAAAATAATATTTTGTTCCGGTAAAACGTATTACGATTTAGTTAAAGAACGTGCACAAAATAAATTAGAATCAAAAATAGCTATTGTACGAATTGAACAATTATGCCCATTTCCATTTGATTTAATACAAGATGAATTAGAAAAATATAAAAAAGCAAAAATATGTTTTGCACAAGAAGAACATAAGAATATGGGTCCATATACATATTGTAAACCTCGATTAGCTTGTTTATTACGATCGATAAATGACCAACGTGAAGGAGATATCAAGTAAGAAAAATAAATTAGGCTTAAATATTTTACCATTTTTTGATAGAAAAACTATTTTAAAATGAATAATCTCTTGCTAATTATTTCATTTGATATTGTAGCAACTGGTAAGTTTGTTTGTGGTTCAGTGCTGTAATGTGAAATATTTCGTACAGCATGCTGTGTGGCTGTTTTACCGTAATCATTTTCTCTGAACAACTCTGCCTTTGTCATAACACTAATTTCAGTTGTGAAAACAGTAAAATATATCATTAAAATTATTGTTAATTCCATTTTGAATCATTTATTTATCTATAAAAGATTTTATCGGTTTTCCTGCATGCAGTTTGACACTGTTAATGCTCGTGTGTGCTTAGATAGATCATTTTATTTTATCCTAATTACATCTCTCTCTCTCTCTATCTCTCTCTCTCTCTTAGAGATAGACTGATTTTTGTTGTTCACTGATGAGGGTTACACATTTTTTTGTTACTGTCACAGCAACGCTTAGTAGTACAGAATGTATCAGAATCTTCTCAGGGCATAGGCTACAAAATATGAAGATTTTGTCACGCATGTAAACTAAAGAAAAGATCATTAGTTTTTTTATTGTTTAAAATAACTGTTTTTTATTTATAATCATACTCAGCTCGCTCTCTAACCTATAGAAATGTTGTCAAACACATATAAAAAAAGTTTGAAAAATTATTTCGAAAAGATAACTATCTATAATGAATCAATAACAATTTTCACATCTTTACAAACTGACCTGAACTAGTTCAGATATCTATACCTTTCGTCCTTTCATGCAGTATCGAGCACAGACTTGCAGCATCCCTAAATACAACCAAACATAATGTTATTTAATAATTTTTTTATTTGTAATTTCACCTTATCCCAAAAAAAATTTTTCCCCATCGTTCTTTAATTCGTACTGCATCAGACTACCAACATTTTTCTCATTACTGACCCTGTCTCAAGCAGATTTAAGGTCAGTTGCTTTTTTTAAAGTAAATATGTAGAACGAAAGTGGAGTCTTAACTTGATACATTTGCGTTGTACCTATGAGAGAAGATGTTGATGCCCTTCTATTATTTAACCTACATTCGTTACGTTTATCTTCTACTACTGTTATTAACTATTAATTGATGTTTCTTTTTATTAACTAGTAAAAATACGGAATAATATACTTTTGTTTTTCATTCTAGGTATGCTGGCCGTGAATCAGCTGCTTCTACAGCAACCGGTATTAAATCGAGTCATTATACGGAACAAAAATTATACATGCAAACAGCAATGGCATTATAGATTATTAAATTTTTTATTATCACAAGCATCCCTACAGATCTACACCATATTTTTCGTGTTACTAAAAAATGAACCAGAGACTACTTTTTTCGTTGCATATCATGTAGGAAAGATATTCTATTTGTTTTATCCTGAAATCTCTGACCGTTTTCTGTCTCCGGATTTTTTTATTTTTATTTTCTTGATAAATTAATATAGACAATAGAAGTAAATGTTTTGGTCTATGGAATAGTATACACTACTCATAGTAATATACTCATTGATTGACATTAAAAACATCTAATTGAGAGTCTTTATTACACACTAAAGAATGTTCTTTTAAATATAAATAAGAGAATAATTGACATCGTTTTTATCATTTTATTAGAGACGTTTCGTTATGAACTCATAACATCTAACCTATACTTGCACATTTATTTGTGAGTGAAGTTGAAGAGAATATTAAAAATTTTAAAGGGAAAAAACCATCAATTTTTTATCGTTATGTTGATGAGGTGTTTATGATATTACATGAAACACAAAGAGATATTGCATTATTTGTGAGATTTATGAACAAACTAGAAAGTTCAATTAAATTCACAATAGAAATGCAAACAGATAATAAATTACCCTTTCTTGACGTCATGGTGGAGAGAAAAGATTCAGAATTAATTACATATGTTTATAGAAAGCCCACCAACCCTGGTCTATATCTCAGATGGGCAAGTAATCAACCCCGCAATTATAAAATTAATTTAATTAAATGCCTATGTTTTCGTGCAAAAAGAATTTGCTCATCGGACTCATAAATAAATGTGCAAGTATAGGGGCAACCGAGCTGCCCATCGACACGCCATTTATTTGATCATAGTGCTCGTTATTAAATATAAAATTAGTTCTTTTTGTACAGTAATAAAATAATTCTCTCAAGTTGTCATCATCTATAGTTAATTTGGGATGGAATTGTTTAATTTTCTTTATAGCAATATTAATAGCCTTTTCTAAAGGTACATTCGTAAATAAAGATGATACATCTAATGAACACATGAGCCCTGATAAGTCTTTATTTTCTTTTATAATTCTTGCAAAATCGAATGAATCTTTTACATAAGAGGGACACTGTGAAATTGCTGGTTTAAGTAATGTTGCTAAATATTTTGCCGTATTATAATTATATGAATTATAACTTGAGATGATAGGTCGAACTGGTTGCCCTGATTTGTGTACTTTAACTAACAATGGAGGCGTTTGTATTGTAAGTTGAAAAGACTAGATATTTTTACATCAAAAGAAAGCTCTCACCACCAAACTAACAAGGCTAAAACATTAGCTCCCATTGGTTTGCCTGGAGGGAGATATTCAGTTTTTACGGTATCCACGGTTTAGTTATGGGAATATTAGCATTATTTTACATTAATTTTTAAGCAATCAACTGAGTATTGCAATAGTAGGCATTAAGAATGTTTCCAGAATATATCATTTGCATATTAAGATCACATTAGTTCGATGTCTTCTGTGGCTTAAGTAGTATTAATACAGATACCGATCAGCTAGCAGTTATCAAACTCTTGAACTCACCAATAGTTTATATTTTATTTCAACTGAAATCAATAGATTATATAATATACTGTTTCATCAAAATGTACTACAAGTGCAGATGTGGACCTTCAATGAGATGATAGTGACAAAGAGTTTCTTTGCACCAAGCGCACATTAATAGTGATTCGTTCATTGCAATTGTTAATTGAACAGTACAGATCGTAAAATTAGAAGCAAACATCTTTCGGTTTTTCAATCTGTCCAATTGTTTCATTTGTTATTCGAGCTTGTATAAACCCATTCTTGATGAGATTATTAAATTGTGGAGCTGATAATTGATTGTGAATAACAGCATGCATGTTGATGGAATATTGACGATCACTTATAGTCATTTCTGTTCTATTGACCGTAAAAATTGAATATCTCCATCCAGGCAAGCCAAGGGGAGCTAATGTTTTAGCCTTGTTAGTTTGGCGGTGAGAGCTTTCTTTTGATGTAAAAATATCTAGTCTTTTCAACTTACAATACAAACAACTCCATTGTAAGAAATAAGCTTCAGGTGTTCTTGAACCTATATCCGGTCTCATTAATTTATATTCATCAGGACTAATAATTTTATTTCTTTTAAGTTGCAGTAGAAATTTAATAAGTTCTTCTTCACGTTTGTCAGTTAAATTATGAGTTACTCATCGGATAGTCTATTTAAATAACAGTTAGAATATTACAAAAAGATTTTTATTGCGAATGAATATCCACGTAATGTTGTTAAGAAAACTATTCGTAATATTGAATTAAGTATTAATAAGAAACAATCCGGTCTGAATATTCAAAAATTATTTATTCCTTTTCCTTATTACGGTGAATGTTCTATAGTGTTAGCAAATAAGATTCGAAAAATATTACAAACTTCCACAACACATATTATATTTGGATTTAAGGCTGGAAATAGAATTTCATCATTGTTTAGCAGAACCTATCGTTGTAGTAATGACAATAAGAGAATAGTATATGGTTATTCATGTTATGATTGTGATGGATATTATATTGGTCAGATAGCGAGAGGTGCAGAAGTTCGGAAAAAAGAACACAAGAAAGCTCTTAAGGGCATGGGATACTCCAAAATTGCAGAACATTGCCTTAATAAAAATCACAATAATAATTGGGATACAAACATCTTAGCAATAGAGTCGAATGACTTAAAAAGGAATATTAAAGAAAGTTTACTTATGGATTGGTACAGACATAAGAAAGGCAAACAGGTGTATTCACAGAAGAGTTTCATATTAAATATATTCTGATTACCAAAAGACAATAATTATGGGGGGCGTTAAAAATTAATGATTAAAAGAAAATGTTTTCTTTGAATTTGTGTCCTTGTCTCTCTCCTTGTATTGTCTATATATATATACTCTTTCGTCTTGCTTGTTCATTCATTTCATTTTTCGACTGATGATGTTATGAGTTCATAACGAAACGTCTCTAATAAAATGATAAAAACGGTGTCAATTATTCTCTTATTTATAGTATTCTAATTTTTATGCAAGTCGTTTTATCTGATGGAGATACAGTCTGCACTAAGTAAATTAACTACGTATCATGAGTACGGTGATCAAGAGGGCTATATTATTACACATTATGATGCATCATCAGATTTGAAATGTGTATTTTATTGCCATTATTTAGGGTGGAGATGATCGTTCTACATCCAGTGGTCACAATCGTTCACAAATGCCTTCTCTACCTTCTGGTTCATTCGTAACTCAGCCGGTTAGTTACAATGGAGTATCAACAACCACAGAAAGTTCAGTTGATGAAACCGCAAATAACAGTAATAACAATACGCTTAAACAAACCACCGGTGGTGTCATTACGTCAGCAATAACAAATTTACCGACGAAATTAGGATTGAAAGGAAAAAAAGATACGGAAAAAGATATGTTATTGACAAATGATGATTCTTAGAAAAATACGTAATCCAAATCAACAGATTCGATTCTAGTCATATTTTAATAATGATATTTACCGTCAATGATAATAATATTGTCAGTTTTTGTTGTTTTTCCCTGCCTTTAGTTGTTGTGTTTAATATTTCATACATCTAAATGGAATCTTTATTTTATTGTATATTTTTATTCTCTCATTCTCTGTTGTGAATCCTAGTCATTAACAACAAAAACAAAATGAACGCAAAATTCAGTTATATGTAATCAAAATTTATGTTGTATTTTTGTAATTATACTCTATTTTTTGTTTTTATTTTATGAATCACTTTTTTACTAAGTGATTGACTTAAACTTGGCAATGCAACATTTTTCAAAGTATTTTATCCAAATGTCTTGGTATACGAGGAATATATGAAGCCATTTGTTACAGAATATTGTTTGTTTTTAAGGATGAAATTAAATGAACATCTTCAATAAGTTAGCACAGGAAAAATTTAAGTCAAAATATGTAAGCATTTTTTTTTTTTTTTGTTATAATGAAAATATAATTTAGATGCGTAAACGAAACAGTATCGTTGCTTGTTGAACTGTGTTTCTGTATTGTTATTATATATGTATATATGTTTCTAGAGTTTTTGTTTTCTTTAGTGGAACAGTAGTAGACAAAAGTCAATTTATTTTTTGTTTTTTGGCAATTGAATATCTAGCATTTAAATATAATCTTTTTTTTCTTTATGTTTATATTAATATTCTATTTCTTTTATTTTATTTTCTTGTTTTGATATTGTGCGTATGTTGTGCATTCATTGTTGTTGTTATTTTTATTTTAATTGTTTGATATAGTAATTCTGTGATGAAACTAATATTTTCCAAAAATCAAAAACCAAAAAAAAACAAGTATTTGTAGGATTTTCTCTTATTTATGAAGATATTATATTCTTTTATTATTCACTCTGACTTGTAATTTTGTTCGTACGCACAAATAAATTATTTTATTGTTAAAATGTTCTCAATATGTTCAAGAAATTGTTAATTCATTTCGAATCTAGTTTATGATAGGAGCTAATTTAATGATCAAAGACATACGGTTATGATTTTTTATTTTATAGATTTATTTTGAAAAATGTTTTCTCTTCTCTTTCTCTTCTTGTTGAATTTAATTCTGTTTGTTCAATGTCAAAATAAAACCATATGTTCGGGAAATACAACGTATCATGATGTTGAAAACTACTGTTCCGGGCAGAATGGTACAATGACTCAACGATGTTGTTTTGACGAGGGTAATAGTATAATAGCCATTGATCTTGTCAATGGAGGTTACATACAAATTCCAGATTTTACACAAATTAAAAATCTACTTAGTGCAAAATTTATCGATTTAAGGTGAATTAGAATGTTGTACTTAGCCTTCAAAAACATATTTTTAAGAATATCTCTTTTTTTTTTAGGTCTAATCCTTTGGAATCAGTACCACACTCATCTGATTTTGTTGGTTTACAATTATTAGAACGTCTGTATTTACCACTTCAATATTTGTGTCCTGGTGGTGTTGATGTTTGGCAGAAGATTGAGTCATTACCAACAGAAAACCATTGTATACAACAAAAAGACTTTTGTGCAAATTCTACGCTAAAATGTACTGAAAAATCTTCATGTTCACCAAATGGTCCAGGACAGTATTTATGCTTGTGTGAATTTGGTTATACCGGTTATAAATGTTTAAGGTATGGTCATTTTCCAACAGCATTATTTTTAGGATTAACATTGCCACTGACAGCAGTATTATCAGTTGTACTCTATTATACACAACGACGACATGTTAAAACAAATTAAAAGACAAAAATCCCTTTAACATTCCATGTTATTTGTAGTGAGTGTTTTTTTTTTTTGTTCTTCAACTAAAATGGTGCTGAATTTAGAGTTCAATTGTACCACGATTTTTTTCTATTTGATGATAAATTAAGTGTTTAACTTCGGCAAGAGCGACTCATGTTTTTGTATATTCCCAAATTTCTTAAGCAGATACATCTATTTCCTTCTTATTTTTGTTATTATCCATTACCAAACAGCGTAGCTTGGCGAAATTTCAATTATCCTTTTAATTAGATAGCTTAGAGAATACAGAGATGAGCGAATACACAGTGGTCTGAGTACGAGTATTTTCTGAAAAGTACTTAAGTATAAAATTTTTCAAAAAATCCGAAAAAAAAAATCGATTTTTTGATACGTAAATAGTAAAAGAAAAGTCACCGATTTTTTGGAAAATATTAGACTACTTTTTGGAATATTCATTAAAAAATGTCTCTAATACAGGAGTACTAGGAATTTTATACTTGAGAGTATACTCGCATACGAGTATATAATTGTATTCATCCATCTCTGATAGTATGATATTTATTCGACTATGTTTTTGATCGTTCTTCAGATATTATTCTACTTTATTTTTACAATAGAGTGTTATGTATTTTCTGCATTTATTTACGACTGTTAATTTTCTATAAATAGTTACGTATATGGTATATATTAATGATTTTTTTATTTATTTTTCCATGCAATTTTGTTTATATATTTATTATTTTTGTTACCTTTAACTTATCGAACGAATATATAAAATATTAAATAATTATATAGAAAGAATAAATTATCAACACTAAACTGCTTCAGAGATAGTGTGAAGTCTTATCTTATAATTATATTTTTTCTGACGGAATTCAATGGAAAAAATCATTTTTTCAAAAATCCAGGGGTGGAACCGGTCTCCCCCCCCTGGCTACGACCCTGCAATACAGTTGCTTGTTGATTTCCGATCGCCATCATATTCGAGAAGAACATTTTTATTGATGAATTGAACAACATTTTGCTTCATTTCATCTGATTTAGATGATATCATATATATGAAAAATTGTGAGTCCTTCTCATTTTATGAGTGTGCATAAAATTCAGAAAGATTGATGCAAAAGGAATCTGTAATTTAAATTGATAGAACCATATACCTTCGAATGTTTGTGTAATGTGACAAAGTGTCGATCATTTATACTTTGGAGACGGAGTGCCTAATTGAAAAATGACTATCTTTTATTTACGCTTCGACGAATTTTGAAATGGGATGAGAGACGTAAAGGTTAGAAAAAAATTTATCATCTCATTTAATATAGAAAAGTAAAAAATACGTATGTTAAAAAGAACAGGTCACTGATACCTCGTATCGATGTGTACCTTATTTTAATTCAACCATTACGGACTAGACTTAGTTTAAGGCCCGCTCCTGTCAGAAAATATACATTCTTTCATGAAAGGGTGATACTGAGCTAAGCAAATGAGTGGATTGCCCAGGGTGTCTACTCTTAGAATCCACATTGTTTTTGCCAGTTTCTAAAAACCGATTTTTCTGAAATTTCAGTATTTAAACGTCGTAATCAGAAGCGATTTCAATGGTGCTGGTTTATAACACAAACATTTTTGATTAAAATTTGACATCTTCCAACTTTGAACGATAGTTTAATCAGAAGCTATGACAGTTTTCCTAAGAGTCCTAAAATCTGTGCCATAAACTAGTACTGCCATGTTTTGAAATCGATTTTCCCCTTCATCGTTCTAAAAGTTTCCCAAAACTCTCACTTAGTTTAAATGATAGAGAGCTCAAGATGGTTTTACTTTGTAGAGAAATGTTGTCGTTTCGACGGTACAGAGCCGGATTGTTGAACTGCATTTTGAAAGTTAAATAAAACTTAAGATCTCTGAAAAAATTGAAAGAAGTCTTTAAGGGATTTTGATGAAAAATGTTTTGTGTTAATAATTAATACAAAATTTCATAAATTCGGCCCTGTACTATCAGAACGATAGCATTTTTCTACGAAATAGAATCATTCCGAGCTCAGTAGCATTTTAAGCTGGGTGAGAACATTGGGGAATCTTAGCTGCTCCATTTTGCCTCTTGCCATAGTGACATCTTGGGAATGGAGATAGATGAAAGTAAAAAAAAGAATGTCGCCACCATACTTTGTATATGGTCGTCATTCGCTGAAAGTTTTGTTTAGATTTGACTTGTAGTTATCGAAACAAATTCTGACAGTGGAGACATTAAGAACTCTTCTCCTTTGTGTGAAAGGCTGTAGGTTAAAAACGTCTGTTGTATCGATTATAGTCTACTGTAAAAGTACCATTTCAATGCTGTATAGTGTGTTGTAATAGAATTGATCTCCGAGATTTAATAAACAGGAGAGAATGAGTGGTAAAGTAGATGGAAGATTGCAGTAAAGTTCGACTAAAATTTCTTCTATAAGTGTTTGTATATAGATATTTTTCGTTTTATATCTCTTGATTAGTTTTATCTACTAAAGTTGCCAAAAGCATAATGACTCAAACTGGCATTCCTGATCGTATGAAAGCTGCTCAACAACGGGGTTTTGGCGCTATTGATCAAGTATTAACTGTAGCCATTGATGTTCCAGTGCCACGTGAGTTAAAATCCGATCAGATACTCGTTCGTGTCCATGCTGCATCAATAAATCCTATTGATTGGAAAATTCTAAATGGAAATTTGTCATTAATACAAAAATATTCATGGCCACATATACCTGGATTTGATTGCAGTGGAATCGTTGTTGATGTTGGTAAGCAGAAAACATAAATGACACCAAGTGTACTTTTTCATCTTTGTACATTCAATTACTATGAGTTCAACGATAGTTCATGATTGTTTCATTTTATTAATAATCATTGAGAAAAATTGATGTTTCGATACATAACAAAACATTCTCAAGATTGAAAATAAAGTTAAAAATATGAGAAAATGTAAATAGCTAAAGTGGAGAGAGGAAGATGATGTCTTTATCCGACAACTATCAGATGTATATTAGACTGGTTGAAATGAAGGATAAAATGATACTTCGGTGGAAAGCAGTCGATGTCGTAGGTGTTAGATCGTGGCTGACTAGTATCATTGATTTGTGCCTTTTCTTCACTGTTTTCACAAATTTGTCATAATAAAAATTAAAAAAAAGTGTCATAATAAAAATAAAACACCAAGATGAAGCAAACCCTATAACAGACAAACTCAGTGTGTTCTTGTTTAAATATTTCACCATTATATAATCAGATTATTTACTGATCTTCATTTTCTAGGTCCATCCGTCAAACGTTTTCGAATTGGCGATTGTGTCTATGGAAATGTGAGTACCGAAGGTGGTTCGTATGCCGAATATGTACGGGGATCACAGAAATTATTTGCATTAAAACCAAAGAATTTAAGTCATATCGAAGCGTCTGCATGTCCATTAGCTTGCGAAACATCGTATCAAGCTCTATTTAATCATGGAAAAGTGACAAAAGATTCTAAAGTATTTATTTGCGGTGGAGCAACAGCTACAGGACTCTTTGGTATACAATTAGCGAAAGCAGTTGGAGCACATGTTGCCACGACATGTAGTGAAAGAAATTTAGATATACTAAAAAATAAATTAGGATTAAATATTGTGCAGAATCCGGAATTAGGTAAGAAATAAATTGAATTGTTTTTCGTTATAAAAAAAATTCCTTTGATGTTCATCTTCATTTAGGTGAAAGTCTTGGTGATTTATTGGTAATCAATTATCAAGAAAAAGATTTTGGTATCGAACTAAACGGTCAAAATTATGATGTTGTTTATGATTGTACCGGTGGATATGAACAATGGTCTTCAGCTCAACATATTCTTAAGCCTGGTGGAAAATTTATCACCATTGTTGGTGATGATAAAAAGTCCGAAATAAATCTCAAATCAATCTTATCAGTGGGTTCATCATTGGTTAATCGAAAATTTTGGTCTGTTGTTAATTCATCCCATCCATCATACTCTCTTATTTTCTTACGAATGTCTTATGAAGAGTTAGATATTTTACGTACAAATTTTTTTGAAAAAGATTTAATTAAACCAATTATCGATCAAACATTTGACTTTGATTTACACGGTCTACAAGGAATGTATGAAAAGAGTAAAAGTGGAAAAGCACGAGGAAAATTAGTTTTAAAAATTGTTACAGATACGGACGAACAGCAAGAGACAATCATTGACAAATAAGAGCCAAAGATCGCAATTATAGATGCTATTCGACACATTTTATTTCGGCATTTTTCTTTTATTTATGGTTTTTTATATACTAGCAGTTAGTTTTTTTTTACAAAAAAAAAACATTTAAATTATCCGGTGAATTTATACTTCTGATAGCAACTAACGAGCAACTTCATTTTTTTCATTTTTAGACTATCTAAAGATCTGTATTTTCCGATTTTGAGAACTCTGATTTCATTCTTCATCGTGCTATAAAACGAAATAATAGATATCGATTAAAGTGTAATAAATTTGAAACACCTTTTTGAGTGAGAAAAAAAATATAACATAATGACAGTTGATGATAAAATTTGAAGTGTTCAACGTGTTGTTTTTCTTTTTATTTATCAAGAATGAGAGTGAATGAGTTCTTTTCTTTTCAATTTTTAATAAAATGATATTTCGAATACTAATAGACTATGATGTTGAAGAAAGTGTTGATAACAAATCGAATAAACCATATTATAGTGGAATCGAACGAAAATATTGCTGTAAAATAGAAAAACATTTGGGTAAAGATTATTGTTGCATTTGTGATGAAAGTCACCGTAACATATGTTACAAAATTACTTGTCAAATTTGATCATTATTTTTTCATGCTCCTCAATGTACTAAAGATTCATATTTCTTCATGTGAAAGCGCAAAGTCTAAACTTTAAAACTTCTGTACTTAACCTTAATAAAAGAATTTTTGCTTACTTCTGGAGACTTCTAGAAAATCGTTATCCAAAACCAATGTATATTCAGTTGGGTTTTAGAAGTTTTGTTGAAGTCGATGATATAGTGGAGACAAAATAGAGCTCATCTTGATTTTGCTAACGTAGTTTTCATCAATTTTGATTGAGTTATAAATTTTCTCATTGTACAAAGTAGGCAAAAAAAGGGATATTCCAGTTAATATAGATTTTCAGCAGATTTCTGAGTCTTTTTCGAAAACCACACATTGCCATGAGACTCAGCATGATCGATTACCTATGTTTACATTGATTTTTGTGATTACGATATCATAAGGAAATATCGATCCTGGGGCTTCCAGGAAATCCGACGCCGCATCTAAACCACGAAACATTCAGGGATCGCTTGGCTCCTATTTTAGAGAGACACTCTGGGCTATCTACCCAAGTAGAAAAGCTAATATATTATGCTAAACATATTACCTATATTAAATATATTACTATGTTAAATTTCTGCATTATGAAGTGGTTTTCCAAAGATCTCTTAATTCTTAACCCCCCCTTGGTCACTGGAGTGACCATTTGTAGATCGATGGCAAAAAATTAAGAAAGCATGGAATTTAAAAACTTTGAGGAGATATCTTGTAGCGAGCGCCATAAGCTATCGATTTGTAAAAAATGTGTTTTGTTTCATTGGTTTGTCTTTGAAAAAGATGAATTACAAAATCGTTGACTTTTGAAAAGTCACAAAAATTAGATTTTTTCGGAAAATATTTTTCTACCAATAGGCAAGATACATCTTGATAACCTATTGTGTGGTATATAACGACAATAATGTCTACTATCAATATCAATGCCTTTCGAAAGTGTCAGAAAAGCCAGGCAGATAAGAGATGGTATGATACAGAATGATCACTGGCGTATCCATTGGGGGGGAATGACTTGAAAAAGTCCTATTTTGGGCTTTTCGTAAATTTGATATAGTTCGACCAAAAACATCGTAGAGAGCTCGGGGACATCTCATTTTGTAGAAAATTATTTGCTCTATCATTCTACGTAGTTTGAACAAAATTATATTCACAGGTTCTAGGTGCTGGAAAACTAGGGTTTTGGTTTTCTAGAAAACTCTATTATGGGGAATCTAGTGATGATTTTT